CGCCCATACGCGCCCGGCCCGCTCCATACACACACACGCACACTACACACACACACACACACACTACACACACACATACACACATACACACACAAACACACACACACACACACTACACGTACAATACACATGTACGTACACACATATACACACACACTACACACACACATATTTTTTTTTACTTATTTTCTGTTTAATTTCTAATGTTTAGATGAATTAGAACTATCTAGTTTATTTTTAGAATGTTATCAATATTATCATCGATGAATTAGAAATATGTTAATGTTTAGTTCAACTAGTTGAATTAATATAATAACTAGTTTATTTTTAGTAAATATAATGCTTAGTTGAACTAGTTGAATTAATATATAGAACTAGTTTATTTTTAGTAAATGTTTAGTTGAACTAGTTGAATTAATACATAGAACTAGTTTATTTTTAGTAAATGCTTAGTTGAACTTGTTGAATTAATATATAGAACTAGTTTATTTTTAGTAAGTAAATGCTTAGTTGAACTAGTTGAATTAATATATAGAACTACTTTATTTTAGTATATGCTTAGTTTGAACTAGTTGAATTAATATAACTAGTTTATTTTTAGTAAATGTTTAGTTGAACTAGTTGAATTAATATATAGAACTACTTTATTTTAGTATATGCTTAGTTTGAACTAGTTGAATTAATATAACTAGTTTATTTTTAGTAAATGTTTAGTTGAACTAGTTGAATTAATATATAGAGAGAACTAGTTTATTTTTAGTAAATGTTTAGTTGAACTAGTTGAATTAATATATAGAACTAGTTTATTTTTAGTATATGCTTAGTTTGAACTAGTTGAATTAATATAACTAGTTTATTTTTAGTAAATGTTTAGTTGAACTAGTTGAATTAATATATATATAGAACTAGTTTATTTTTAGTAAATGCTTAGTTGAACTAGTTGAATTAATATATAGAACTAGTTTATTTTTAGTATGTGCTTAGTTTGAACTAGTTGAATTAATATAACTAGTTTATTTTTAGTAAATGTTTAGTTGAACTAGTTGAATTAATATATATATAGAACTAGTTTATTTTTAGCAAATGCTTAGTTGAACTAGTTGAATTAATATATAGAACTAGTTTATTTTTAGTATATGCTTAGTTTGAACTAGTTGAATTAATATAACTAGTTTATTTTTAGTAAATGTTTAGTTGAACTAGTTGAATTAATATATATATATATATATATATATATATATATATATATATAGAACTAGTTTATTTTTAGTAAATGCTTTAAACTAATTGAATTAATATAACTAGTTTATTTTAGTAAATGCTTAGTTGAATTACTAGAAGTAGTTGAATTAATTGAATTAGTAAGTGATTAATGTTTCGCCTAATATGAACATAGGAAATGTCGTCTGACGACGGAAAAAATTTCATTATGTGCGATTACTGTGAAGACCAGCGCGGCCAGTGCGACAGAAATTTCCTTGTTGATGGTAGGCGATTCAGCATCAAGCTGGATGAGACTTTCGAATTTGATACAGTAAGTCACAACGACAAAGTCTGTTTTCGTAATTAAGCATGACTTATATATGCTTCATTTGCCTGACTTATACTTTTTAATTTTCACTATTCTACTAGCGCATCCCGTGCCATGCAAGAATTTTTGTCTTGGATAAGATAGGTTTCAAAGATATGGAAACTATGGAGGTAAAGAGAGCTTACCTGAAAACTGAGCATGATGGTTATACTTTCAACGTCAAAGTACACAATACACACACGTACACATATTTTGAATGCAAAACTTGGCAAGCACTATGCAAGGCTTATGCATTTGAGCCTGGTATGGT